CCAGGGCAGAATCGAAGTTGGCTCGAATGCAAAGGTGTTAGTTTTGGGTGGATCTACTGCTGTTGGTAGATTTTGCATTCAATTATGCAGAAACCATTTCAAAGCCAGTGAGATCATTGCTACCTGCTCATCGTCATCCGCGTCAATTGTTAGAGGATTTGGTGCAGATGATACGATTGATTACACAAGATATCGTTCGCTTGAGGGGCCTGTTGTTCAAGCTGCTGGATCGGGTAAGTTTGATCTTATTTTGGATTGTTGTGGTAATANCGATTTATTCTCGTCTATGTCAAAGATCTTGAAGCCAAAGTCTGAAGGGTCCCATTACGTGACTATTGCAGGGGATAATAAATATAGATATTCCGACGCTAGTTTATTTAGCATTCTTATCCCAACTCTTTTTGCTATTTTCCGGATGTGTTTATCCATGTTGGGCTTGAATTCTTATAATTTTACATTCGCAGCAATAAATCCAGAGAAACAGTGGGCTGAAACAGGAAGACAGTTAATTGAAGAAGAAAAAGTACAAGTATCTGTTGACAGTGTTCATCCAGTAGAGAACTTTTATGACGCTATTAAGAAATTACAGAGCCAACGAGCAAATGGAAAAGTTGTGGTTCAAATAGATAGCTCAAATTAGCTAACTGTTTTACGTAATATAATAAGTATAAAATTAAGTTTTGTATTAGTTTAAATTTATATCTAATGTATAAGATGGTATTATGCTAGTAACTTCACAAATAATGCTTAAGCATTAGGAGTTAAGATACCGTCGGGAGAGTCTTCAGGTGATTTTTCTGAATTGGAGGAAGCATTCTCTTGCAATTCATTCTGTTCCTTATCGAAATCATCATCAAGACCTAATTGAACATTGTATTCTTCAATATCTTTGACAGATAAATATGGCATAGTAGCTGCAACTCTGAATGGTAATCTATTGTCAACATGTGCTTTGGCGAAAATGATATCAATCTCTTCCAAGGAACGACCAGCAGTTTCTGGATAAAAGAAGAAAATAATTGGAACGAAAGTATAATTCATAAGGGCGAAGAATAAATAACAGCCAAAGGTACTTGTTTTAATGAAAATTGGAGTGAACATAACAACTCCGAAATTAGTTAACCAGTTAGTACAAGTAGAAACAGCTGACGCTACAGTTCTTGTTTTCATTGGATTAATCTCTGGAGGATAGATCCAAGGCATTGGTAAGATAGTAAAGCCGAAAAAGACAATAAACAAGAAAAGACCAACAGCAGCACCTTTAGCATCTTGTGTGTTCTTTCCGTCATCTGGGATCAAACAAGCAAATGTTATGGTAAATGAGATAGCTTGACCAATTGAACCAATTAAGAATAAGTTTCTTCTGCCAAGTGTATCAACTAAGAAGAAAGAAGGAATTGTCGATAAGGCATAGACTGTTGCAAAAACACCACCTAAGATCAATGATAATCTTCTTCCTAAATTAATCGTATCTTCAAACAACACGGTAGAATAATAAATCGCAGCATTACAACCAGTAAATTGTTGGAAAAACTGACCAGATGAACCGATTATCATTCTAGCAAAGTATTGCTCTTTACCACCTTTAAATAATTCCTTAAATCCGGCTTGGTTATTATCAAATCTCTTAATCGAGTCAGTAATGAAGGTATATTCAGCGAAGATTTCATCATCATCTGGAGAAAGGTCTTTCATTGCAGCTAGAACTTCCATACCTTCAGCTTTCATATCGTGAGCAAACATCCATCTAGGAGATTCTGGCATTTCAATAGCTCCGAAGAATAAAAAGATTGCAAAAAATGCTTGAAAAGCAACAGGGAATCTCCATTGGACAGAACTATCAACATAAGATAATCCGAAATCGATCCAGTAAGCAACAAAGGTACCCACTGCAATGACAGAACCTTCGAAATTGACTAAAAGACCTCTGTTTTCTGCTTTAGACATTTCAGATTGCCAAACTGGAATTGTGGCGGTATTTAAACCGTTACCCACACCTGTCACCACTCTTCCGACAACAAACTGACCTAAACCCCATTGTGGACCAAACGCTGCAGTAGAAACGACGGTACCAATAATAATAATTAAAGAACCGCAAACAACTAAAATTCTTCTACCTGTTTTATCACCAAAGAATAAAACAAATAAAGCACCGAATAAGCATCCAATTTCGTAACAAGCGGTGACCGCACCTTGATTAACAGAAGCCCAGTGATCCTTACCTGCTGTTGGAGGAAATTCAGCATTGAATTGCTCACCAGTAATAAGACCAGACATTAAACCTTGATCATAACCGAATAAGGAGAACCCAAGAGTAGCCACCATAGTGAACATTACTCTAAGGCGTTTACCCCTTAGCCCCATAGTATTGGTTCTAGAAAAGATTTTGAAAGCCATTTTAAATACGTTACTCCAAAAATCTATACTTAGAGAAAAGGAAAAAAATTAACTTTTAACGGCAACCTCAGCCTTATATATATCAATGGAGAGTTTGGGGGAATGGAGACGAACGTCGATGCTGCAAACGCTGGAAGAGGTTTGTTTTGCAAGTATTTACCGGCCGATATGATACATGATGTAATAGAACGCATGCAACAAATTCCGTATTGCCCAGAGGCAAAGTATAATTATCACGGCTAGAAGCAATAAAGCCTCCCGTTTTGAAAATATATTAGTAAAGCCTTCTACCGGATGACTATAAAAAGTAAGCAAACACACAATTTACAATAAATTCCGACCATTTGCAGCAATAGGGTGTTGCCTCGGTTCTATTTTTTTGAAAACTTTTCACTCACTTTCAAGATGAATTTCATGCATATTGAGATGACATACTTTAAACTTCAGTTTTTCCGGTCGCAT